TATTTCTTTTTTTTTTTTTTTGTTAGGAACATAGTCTCACTCTGTCACCCAGGCTGGAGTACAGTGGCACGATCCTAGTTCACTGCAGCCTTGACCTCCCGGGCTCAAGCCATCCACCTCCCTCAGCCTCCCAAGTCGCTGGGACTACCTGCACACTCCACCACACCTGGATGAATTTTTTTACCTTTTTGTGTGGTCATCAAGGAAATGCAAATTAAAATCTCACTGAGATACCAGCTAACTCCAGTCAAGATGGCCACCGACAGTAACTCAAAAACAACAGATGCGGGACAGGATGCAGCAAAAAGGCAACATGTCTGCACTGTTGGTGGGAGCATCAACTCGTGCCACCTCTGGGGAAAGCAGCGTGGCGATTCCTAAAAGCTCTAAACATCGGCCTTCCATATGACTCTGCAATCCTCCTACTGGGAATGTACCCGGAAAAACTCAAATCACTCTAAAAAAGATACCTGCACACATTGTTTATCGCAGCATTGTTCACAATAGCAGGAACATGGAACCAACCATGCTGCCCATCAAATGAGGACTGGATAAAAAAAAAAAGGTGGTACCTAAACACGGTGGAGTATTATGCCGCCATAAAGAAGAACAAAATCATGAACTTTGCAGTAACCCGGATGGACTTAGAGTCTATAATACCCAGGGGTCTTTCACAGAAACAAAGAACTGAGTATCACATGTTCTCACTCAGAAGCGGGCCTTGAACAGTGATCATAATACTCTAAGAAAAGGATCGGCAGTAGCGGGAAACTGCTCCGAGAGGGGCAGGGACGTGGGGTTGGCAGTAGTGGGAGGCTGCCTGCGGGGGGCACGCCTCATCCACAAGGGGACCTGCATATCGAACATTTGCATACCCAACCCTTCATTGTACCCCACATCTTTAAAATAAAAAAAAAATTAAAAGTTAAAAACATGCCTTTGTGAGGATGGGGTCTCACTCTGCTGTCCAGGCTGGTCCCAAATTCTTGATCTCAAGCAATCCTCCCACCTCGGCCGCCCCAAGTGCAGGGGTTGCAAGCATGCGCCGCGGTGCCCACCCCCACTCCCCACCCAGGCTCCTGGGGTCTCATGTGGAACACGGGGAGGCCGCTGGACTCGGATGGTAGCTGGCTTTATTGACACAGGCCAGGGCGCTGCGAAGCGCACAGCAGAAGTTAAGACGCTCGGGGCAGGAGTGCAAGGGAGGCTGGCCTGCCCGCGGCGCCATCCACAG